CTATGTAATTAATTAATTTAATGATCTTTTATTTCCAAACAATAACATTAAATCATCATTGATATAAATTCATTTTTTAGATATTTGATTCTTTATTTTTGTATTCAAATTATTATCAATCTATACAATTCTACAAAATAGGAAGTAGTATTTATTCCAATTTAACAATAATTCAATAAATTTATATAAAACTTTTATTTCTACAATAATTCACGTAAAGAATATTTTCAAACAAAAGAAATTTTCCAAGAGCTGAACGTATTGTTGTCAAAACAATCTAAACATATTTAAAAAATAGATATTGAAATTGATTTCATTATGATATTTAATCGTTTTATGCATTTCAATTAGTTAGGACCTGGCAATAAATATTTTTTGTCTTTTTATCAAAACTCTTTGAAATCAAATTTGAATTTTATTTACAAATATTTTATTCATTTTTTTTTCGAAATTCTTTTTTTCTTGTTTTCATCTCAATGAAAATGTTCATTAGTTTGTTTTCATTTTTCAATTCAATTTTTATTACAAATCGTGTCAAAATAAAATAAAATAAAGTTGGAAAATAATAAAATTTCTTAATCAAAATTCTCAAATTAAATTCAATTTCAAAGAGAAACAATTAAAAAAGTTCTTTTCTCTGTTTTAAAATCAAAATATCATTCACAAAATTATTTCAAATTTTTGAATTCGATTATTCAAATGATCAGCAACATAAAGATTTCCTTCATCATCAAAAGACAAACCACAGGGATAATGCAACTGATTTGATCGATCACCTTCACCATTTCCACCAACAACAACTTCACCTTCTTCTTTTCCTTCACCCCAACGCATTACTCGATGATTTCCCCAATCTGCCACATAGATTCGACCAAAATCATCAACAGTGACTCCTGCAGGTTCAGATAACTGATTGAGATTTTTTCCTTGACCATTTCCTCCAGCCACAATTTTTCCTTCTTTTGCATCTTTTATCCATTTCATTACACGGTAATTGTCCCAATCTGTAACATAAATAGATTGATCTTTATCGACAAAGAGATAAGTAGGATCGTAGAGTTGATTGAGCTGATTTCCTTGTCCGTTTCCACCTGCTACTACAATTCCTTCGTTCTTATATTCTCCCATTTTCCATCGTCTCACTTCATTCTTCTTATAATCAGAAACATAAATAAATCCATCTTTATCTATTGCCAAGCCATCACAGGCAATATTATCAATGAGAATTTGTTGATTTTGATTCAACCATTGAATTACTCGTCTATTACTCAAATCAGCAATGATGATCGAATGATTTTGTTGATCAATAATCACAGCTTGTGGATAACTCAATTGGTCCATTCGATTTCCTTTATCATTTCCACCTGCAATGATTTGTCCTTCTTTTGCATTATATTTCCATTCGACAATACGATGATTCTCAACATCAGCAATGAAAATATTTTTCTTTTGATCAATAAAGATTCCGCGAGGACGACGAAATTGATTTAATTTTTGTCCTTCTCCATTTCCACCGGCCACAGTGATGGCATTTTGTTTCCATTTGTCCCATTTTGGTTCTAGAAAATGATGAAAATGAAAGATTTTGATAAAAAGAAGAAAAAGATGATTTTGTTTGATATATTTTGTTGAATTTTGAAGAAAACTATTACTGAAAAGAATCACAAAGTGTTTGTAGTTTTGTATTTGTAAAATGAAAACAAGTTCTTTTGAAAAAAACTTTATCAGGAAAAAAGTCTTTTGTTGATTTTACTAAATACTATTATTCTATTTTGAAAATAGCACTTCCCATTTCGTAACAGATTTGTCCTGTATTTGATTATTGATTTTTTATGGACGACTATTTAATTTCGAAATATCATTGGGTAAATATGGATGCGTAAGCGAACTACAAATTTGGAATTTAGATGTGGAGCTTATTTTTTGGGCCGAAGAAATATATCAATTCTTATTTTTCTTTTATAACACAACTTTACCATTCATTGTTATTGTATGAGAATTAGTCGACGTTGTAAGCATAGTTGTTGTTGTTATTGTCGACGTTGCAAGCATTGTTGTTTTTGTTGTCGATACAACACTTGTACTTGCAGTTGTGGTAATTGTTGTTTCGATTTTTTTAATAAAAATAGCCCATATTGTAAAACTAATAATAGTTATTAGGCTAAGAACGGCAATGATAGTTAAAATCAATATTGGCTTCCGATGAAATAAAGATCTAAAATCATAGATATATTTCGAATAAATAAATTAAATACTTACGATCCTGTTCGTGGACGATTATATCGTCTAATATTGTTTTTATTCTCTGATTCAGGCTAAATATTAGAAAAAAACTATTCATTGAGAAATCTTTAAAAAGCGTTGAATGTTCTCGTAATTAATCATTGAATTTGTTCAATTTGTTAATCTTTTCTCGAATAATAATGAAAAAAATTAAATCTCTTTCAGAAATATTTTATTTCAAGAATGAGTATTTTTCATAAATATTTCTTAATGTATTTTATCTATTTTTAAAATTTATTTTATATCAAACAAAGAAGGTATGAGTAAAGATACGAGATTCATCCCGCGCCCACACCTACTCACACCCACACCCCACTCTTATATTAATACCCAAACCATTAAGAATTAAACTAATTTCAATACTAAACTAGAACGCTTAAAAACAACACTACTTACTTTGTATTCGAGTGATGCATCATATACAGTCACTCGTTTTGCAGCCATCTCTATATCTTCTGATTCGTTTGTGCCAATAAGAGGTTTTTTATATTCCATGTTTTAGTAATTAGATTTAGATAACTTTCCAAGTGTTGGCTATGATGATACTGTAGTTGTTACTTTTTTCTTGGTGACGCTGATTGTGGTTCTGAAAAAGTGAAATCAATTAAGAAAAAATGTTAGTTTATTTACCTTAAAAAAACAGTAATTATATTATAGAAATTCTGTGATGTAGTTGCCCTTATCTGAATTTGTGAAGTTATCATTATGAGACTCGTTTATCATCATAGATCACATCTATTTGACTAAGGAATTCTTTCGACCTATGTCACAAATATGCTTCATTTTCCACACTCAAAATTAAGAGTACTACTAACTATAACTGTAAGTGCGCTTAGAATTGGTAAGTCATTTAGGACATAACATTTCTTGTGCAAATAAAATAAGTTTCAGATAAATAAATTCTTAATTGGAAAATGTTTTCTTCGAATCGTGATACTTGATTGCGCTTTCACTGGTTTATGTAACTATGAATGGATCCTTGATTTAGCTAAGAGCTTAAAGCCTACAGAATATGGTATCAACCACTTCTTCGTAGAATAAGTGACAGTCATAATCCAAATAAAATCGAGTAATAAAATTAATATGATCCTATCAAACACGGTTCAAATCTTCAATATTTTAACACTGCTCATCCAGTTCTTGTGAAATAATATCCATACCTTTGATTGTGTATTAGTATGTCGTCTTTGTTTTATAAAAAATGAAAGATTAAATGGTAACCATCATCTTATATACAGTCCTTCTTTATCTTTTTATTTTAACTCCGAAATTGGCATGTTTGGGTTTTTTCTCTACGTTATAATAGGTATCTATTACATTTCATTTATAACAAAGAAGAAGAAGAAGACTATTTAATGATAGCTACGATGAATTACAAAAGCACAATTTAAAAAGTTATCTTTTAACATGTAATATGATACTAATCATGAAATGAGAAAAAAACAAAACACAATTTGCATTTGAAAATGACAAAAACCCAACACGAATTGATCGGAATCTATTCTTATCCAAGAGAAATTGAACATACATATAACACTTGTTGTAGAGTCAATTTTAACATATTCTGATTGTACTATATAACGAAAAATAATAAGAAACTGGGGAAATATAGTCACTAGCATTCTCCGTGTTGATTCATTAATATGATTCTTATTATAACCACATATAAAACAATGTGCACTATTATATTAACATCTAGTTTTGATTACCTTCAGCTAATTACTTTAATTGATGTCATTCTCAAATTATAATATCTTATAGTAATTCATACACATTGATTAGTATATGAATATATACATAAAAGCAGAAGAAGAAATTCCATCGGAACTAGTATGAAAATTGCTTTATAATACGATGACATTCATTTGTGTTATTAACTTTTAGATCAACATAAGTCATCGTGAAATTTGAGAATGTCTACAAACATATAGCTATCACAACTAGTTTCGATCTTGCTGAAGGATCATCTTCAGATGGCGCATAATTTTACATAGATCTCATAGACTGTTGTTTGTGCTGTTCTAAAAAAAGTTGTTCAAGTAAAGTAAATCGAAGAGTATTTTATCTATAACAATAAAGAAATGATATAGTTATCAGAGAATGAAAGAACAATAACAAAAGAATAGAAAGCAATCAATCAAACGTATAGACATCAATTTTGAAACGTTGTTAAACTAATGTGTCAACACATCTAAAGATATTATAAACTATACTGATAGTGTTAGTGTGAATTAATCGAAAACAGACTAACCCTATCTCTTAACGAAGAGATGAACCAATTAAGTCAAGTGTATTTCGAAAAATTAATAAAATTAATGCTGAGTTAATTTCACCGACAGGTTTCGTATTATTTATTTCAGTTTCAAATGCTCTTCAGGACTCTGCATTACAGTTTTAATTAAAAAAATAAGGGCAGCTATGGGTTTAATTTCGAAATAAGTACAAAACTTGCGTTCACATCCTATGATAATTATAAGATTTCTATAAGAAATTAACATTTATTTTTTAAAATTTCTTAATCAAGATTAGCAAATTTAATTCAGCTATGATGAAAAAAAACCAAAACGATTTTTTTCTATGTTCGTCTATCAAAAAATTTCTTTTTCTTCAAATTTTAATCAATTTTTTTCATTGATTTTTTACAATAAAACTTTATTTCTTCTTTTATTTCTCGATTATTTATTCAATAATTTTTTTTCTTTTTTTCAAAATTCGATTCACAAAATTATTTCAAATTTTTGAATTCGATGATTAAAATGATCAGCAATATAAAGATTTCTTTCATCATCAAAAGATAAACCACAGGGACCATTCAATTGATTTGATTGATTTCCTTTTCCATTTTCACCACCAACAATAATTTCACCTTCTTGTTTTCCTTCACACCAACGAATTACTCGATGATTCCCATAATCTGCCACATAGATTTGACCCAAATCATCAACAATAACTCCCGCAGGTCCAGACAATTGATTGAGATCTTTTCCTCGACCAGTTCCTCCAGCCACAATTCTTCCATCTTTTGCATCTTTTTTCCATTTCATCACACGATGATTGTATCTATCTGATACATAAACAGATTGTTCTTCATCAACAAAGATAAAGGTAGGATAACTGAGTTGGTTTTCATTTCCACTTGCCACTAAAATTCCTTCATTGTATTCTCCCATTTTCCATCGTCTCACTTCATTCTTCTCACAATCAGAAACATAAAGAAATCCATTTTTGTCTATTGCCAAGCCATAACAGTCGATATTGTCAATGAGAATTCGTTGCGTTTTATTCCACCATTGAATCACTCGTCTATTCCCATGATCAGCAATGATGATTGAATGATATTTTTGATCAACAATCACATCTGTTGGACAATTTAACTGATTCATTCTACTTCCTTGTCCATTTCCACCTGCAATGATTTGTCCTTCTTTTGCATTACATTTCCACTCGGCAATACGATGATTATTAAAATCAGCAATGAAAATATTTTTGTTTTTATCAATAAACACTCCTTCAGGGCCATTAAGTTGATTTAATTCTTGTGATTTTCCATTTCCACCAACTACAGTGATGGCATTTTGTTTCCATTTGTTGAATTGTGGTCCTAGAAAAGGATGAAAACAAGACATTTTGATGAAAAGAAGAAGAAGACGAAATTTTTTTTTAATTTAATATTATTTTCTATTTCTGTGAATAGCTTTATTATTAAATTAGAAGATAAGAATTATTCTTTCAAAAAATTATTTATTAAAAACTTACTTTTTGATAAAATATTTGAAATTTCATTAATAAATGATTGAAAATTTTGTTGAATAGACATATTTGATAGATTATTTAATTCTTGTGTAATTTTCATCAATTGATTTTTTAAATGATTTAAATTAATTTCATTAAATTCATTTTCTCTATGAATTTGTTTGATTTGTTCACTTAAATCATTGAATTTTATTTCGATATCATTAATACATGTTTGTGAGTATTTAATAATAATTTCTCTGTACTCTCGTGCTTTTTGTTGAATTTGTTGAATTGAATTTATTTCCCATTGATTAATTTGTTTTATTAATGGAAAATTTTGTGGATTTTGCTTTTGTTCATTGATTGTTTGTTTTAATTCATTATATTCATTGGTGATATAACCTAATTCTTCATTTAAGTTTTGTTGATGTTCTGTTAAATGAACTGAACAAAATTCTTTTGAACATCCTTTACAAGAATATGTTATTTTTTCTTTATTACATGTAAAACATAGTGTTTTATTGTTTGTCATTGTCATGTCGTTGAATATAAATCTATAGAAGAAAGGAATAATCTACTTTTATAAATATAAATTTAATAGTTCAACGACAATAGAAACGTTGTTCACAAATAGAAGAAATCGAAAAAGAAGTTTTCTTGTTGCAACAATTACTAATTGCGAGAAAGTCCGGCCGATAAAACTAGTTTAAGTTCTCATTACTCCACACTTATATTCATGAACGCTTATTAGAATTGACTTAATTTTACCGAAATCTACTTAGAACAGAAAGATGAATTCGAAAGTTCAGAATCAGTTTGAGCTAGTACTCATATTAATATATCTTCTATAATATCATGATTTAACTTTCATAGAATTTGTCGTAGGTGGTTGACTCACGACAGATGAAAACACTAGTAATATCTTACAAATAAAAAATGAAACAATAATATTGTTTTCTTCAATGCTTTTGAAAATATATCATCTCATCATCGAAGAAA